GTGTGTGTGGGTGGGTAGTAGTGTGTGTGTGTGTGTGTGTGTGTGTGTGTGTGTGTGTGTGTGTGTGTGTGTGTGTGTGTGTGTGTAAACAGCAGTTAGATTTTTACACTCCATTGAGCAGGGAGCCCCTCCCTCTCTCTGTATCATACAGCACTGAGCCCACACAATGGAGAGTAAACTAACAATACTTTGCACTTTTATAGCGACAGTCATCTGAAGATCTCAAAGCACTTTACAGAGATGGGAATGACTCTCCTCATTTCAGAGCCGGGCAAGCTGAGCCACAGGAGTCCTGTGCTTGCCCAAGCTCCCACAGCAAGACAGGTGACAGAACCAGAATCCATGTCTCCCAACTCCCTGCTCCCACAGGATGTGCATGCCCAGGCCAGTCTGCATGTGATAGGCTGGATTAATAATGGACCGTGTGGACAATTGATCCACCACAACTTGGAGACTGACTATGAAGGAAGGGACTGCAGTCCAGACCCATGGAGCAATGTGCTCCTCCCAAAGCCCTCTCACCAAAGACTGGTCCCCTTAGCAGGGTCAATCCCCTCACATTTTAGCACGAGTGCAAATACCCTGTCCTACATCCTTGGCCCCAGGTCCATGTAGCTATAAATTATCAGTCCACAACAGTAATAGCTGAGATCAATCTATCGGCAATGGGCAGAGACAGAGACCCTCCTGCTTTGGTCACTGCAGAGCTTGAGAAAACATGAGCCAAAGCAGCTGCACCCCATGCACCCTGCTCAGCTTCCTGTGGGTTGTTTTTTCTGATTATGCATTTACAGAGGCAAAAGAAGATAAATAGCCCTCCTTCCAGCATAAACCCTCTGGTCCAGGGACAGAAGATACCGGGGTGCTTCAGAGAGCATATTTGCTAAGTGGAATGTCCACTTGCACAGGATATTAAAAAGCCATGTGACATTATAGGGAGATATAAAATAAAAAATCTCCTACCTCCACACATCTGAGGCAGGGTAACAAACTCAGCAGCAGGGTCAGGCACCTGAGAGCTTTGGGAAGCTCCATTCTTCTTCCTGAACAAAGTGGGCAGAAGCTTCTTCAGGCTTCACATTCTCGCTGCTGCTGGGCTCAGCTGCCTCCTCCTCTCCCTCCTTCCCTTGTTCTATTTCCCAGGGAGCAGGGCTGGAGCAGCACAGCACTGGAAGGATCTGTACAGCACAACTCCGTCGTTTCGATGCAGGGAAGGGAAGGAAGGGAATGAAAGCTCACAGCAGCAGCTTGTGATTTTGCTTTCTTCTTTCTTCTATTTCATTGTTCTGGAGTGAGGGGAAGAGAATGTGTCCTGAGAATTTCTGATCCACCTTCAAAAACAGCAGGAGGCAAGTGCAGACGGGCAGGGTACAGCCTTCAGCCTTCCAGGCTGCTTCCACACCTCATCTCTCTCTGCCTCCTATCCTAGCTCTCTCCCCTCCCTCTTTCTTGCTGTCCCAGCCTCTTTTTTTGCTCTAGGTATGCATCTCTCTTTAGTGCAAGCCTCCTTCTCTTCCCCTGCCTACCTTGCTGCCTAACCCAGCAGTTCTCTCCTCTCTTGACACTTCCCTCCTTTCCCCCACTGATTCTTCTCTCTTCCTCATCTCTCTCCTGCCTGCAAGGGACTGGTGGAACTGGGTGGAAGATTTGGAACTCCCAGCTAGAAAAATTCCAGCAATAAAACTGAAGGTGTGGGGGGAAATCCTTTGTGTGCTTGCATGAGATTATGTCTTGAAGAAACTGGACTTTATCCTCCAACCTCTGTCTTCTTGCTCAACCACCTGCAGCTCCCTGAGAACACCCTCTTCTCTGGTCTCTGAACCCAGGGAAATCAGAGACAGAGCATTTCAGGTTAAGACATCTCCTAAGAGAATGGCATAGGTGACAGGGAACTCTCAGTGGATAACCCCCACCCCAATTCGAGGGTGTTCCCATTGCTGGTCTGCCAGATCCTGATCACCTCCAAGTAGGGTGACCAGACTGCAAATGTGAAAAATCGGGACGAGGGTGGGGAGTAATAGGAGCCTATATAAGAAAAAGACCCAAAAATCGGGACTGTCCCTATAAAATCAGGACATCTGGTCACCCTACCTCCAAGGTTCATCTTTTCAGCCAAGCATTTCTTTAACCTTGGGCTAAGGCTGGAAAGTTGTTTCCACTTGGTGGGTGGGGGTGCTTAGTAGGGGATAAGACCCAAAGAGCAGCCTTAAGCCAGAAGCACTGGTGTCTAGCACTAAGTGTCAGCTGGCCTGACCAGCTCAATGTACCCCAACTCGCTACTGTTATCATCTGCATCTCGAAGATGTCAAGTAATATGTCATTGGAAAACTAACAGCTCATTGATGATTAATCTTCGTGTGTAACGTATGTACGGTCAACCCACAAATAATTACACAGAGCTGCTGGAATTATGATTAAAATGTGTTTAAACCAGGCATGTCGGGGGGAGTTAATAAAGAGGGTTTTTCCAGACACAAGAATGCAGTTCTGCCTGATGGAATGGGTCTCCCATGTAAATGGAGCAAGGTGTGACCAAAGACAAGGAAACGCACATTGGCATGCCAAACTCAATTAAAAACTCTCTGATTATGTAAATTTATTTTACGTTTTCTCTAAACCAGCCCAGTACTCTGACTGACTTGAAGAGATTGTTAGCTCCAGCCAAGCTCACAAGATGGTGTTTCTGGCTCTTTAAAGGAGCAGCAAACTAAATAACTTTGTTGAGCATTCCAGAAGAGGGCTGGACATTGCTGGAGCCAGTTTTAGGGAAATCTAGGACTACAGGAGGTGTTGGAGTCACTCTTCAAACAGTAACTGGACAGGGGAAGGCAGGGTAGGACCTGCATGTTTGCTGGCTCTTGGAGTCCGCAGCAGCACAGCATTGAAGGCATCCAGAGTTGCAGGACAGGCGGTGACACAACCCCTCACTAATCTGGGTGGAACCCCAAATTGTCACAGGGGTTGGCTGTTATTGCTGCCCACTATGGGCAGTGCTAGTCAGTTTATTTATACACCCCTTAATGTTTATCATTAATAAATATAAGCAGAGGGCCTGCCTCCCTGTCCACTTCCCAGTTTCTGTTGAGTGGATCCATTTGACACAGTTCAGGAATTTTAAGTGTCTTTACACCTTCTATGTGCTGCTCTCAGCTCAATTCAATGGACATTCCCTATAACTGTACTTTTTTATTCTTCAGGAATTAACTCTTTTGGGATTTTGCAGCATGGAAATGTGGAATTCGCCTTAGAAAAGAGTTCGTCTTGCATCTCAGAAGGGGAAAGTCCACTAGTCCACTGGATAAGATTTCCAGGAGACCTTCAACACAAAAACATGGAACAGGCTGTTGAAGTCCCTCTTGACTGGATGCAAAGCCTCTTTCTCTCTCCCTGCTCGTTACCAGCAATCACTGATTCCAGTCTTGCTGGTTTGTCTCATCCACAATTGCTTATCAAATGCAATGCAATGCTGTTAGAAGATGGGAGGAGGGAGCAGTTGCTGTTGGGTGGATCCTACTGCAGTGTGCGCTGGGCATTGCAATCATTTAATTGGGAACAAATCTCTGAACTGACAGCACTAAGCAAGCAGACAGAGAGGCAGAAGGCAGACAAGAAGAGAGGCTGAAACCAGAGCCTCACCCTAGTGGGCTCTAGATGTCCCGATTTATAGGGACAGTCCCGCTATTTGGGGCTTTTTCTTATATAGGCTCCTATTACCCCCCCCCCCCCCATCCCCTGTCCCGATTTTTCACACTTGCTGTCTGGTCATCCTAGTGGGCTCTTCCCCTAGCAGGGCCCTGCTACAGAAAGCAGCAGTGGCAGGGAGGGGAAGAGAAGAAAGGAATTTCAGCACGGGCGGCTGGTGAACCGGCCATTGGGGGAGGCTAACCCCCAGCCCGTCCCCTTCTGCCGGAGGCCTCGCCTCTCCCCTTTTGCCCCTTCTTCCCCCACAGGAGCCCAGAGCACCCCCACTGCAGCTGACACCCCTGCCCCAGCCCCGGCCGAGCTCCCCCAGCCCCGGAGTGCCACACGATCGGGCATAGGGTTGCCAACATTCTAATTGCACAAAACCGAAACTCCCTGCCCCGCCCTTTCCCTGAGATCCCACCCTCCACTCACTACATTCCCTCTTCCTCAGTGGCTTGCTCTCCCCCACCCTCACTCACTTTCACTGGGCTGGCAGGGGGTTGGAGTGAGGGCTCCGGCTGGGGGTGCAGGCTCTGGAATGGGGCTGGGAATGAGAGGTTTGGGGTGCAGGAGAGGGTTCCAGGCTGGGGGTGGGGCTGAGGGATTTGGAATGTGAGAGAGAGCTGCGGGTTGGGGCAAGGGGTTAGGGTGTGGGAGGGAGTACGGGTTCTGGGGGGGGCCGGGAATGAGGGATTCGGAGTGCGGGAGGGGGCTGTGGGTTGAGGCAGCGGGTTGGGGTGCAGAGGGGTGAGGGCTCCGGCTGGGGGTACAGGCTCTGGGGTGGGGCTGGGGAT